GTTGAATGAGTTATCTCCAGTTCTAGCTCTGGTAGTCTGACTTTAGAATTAATATTAAAAATTGTTAAAAGTTTTTTTAAATCCTCTATACAATCTCTTTGTTCTAGCATTGAGGATATGCCATGGGCGCAGAACTTATGGGAGAAAGTTGAGCAGCATACCAAAAAAGGCTTTCTGAACTGGTGTAAAATTGTAAAAAAAGTAGCCGGTAACAAAGGCGAAGATGTCGTTATGTGGAATAAGGACTATCTCAGGTCGGTCGATGAGATTTTTTGCGATATGGTGGCCGAAATGTCGCAAATTCATTCGTCAACCATCAATAAAATGCAAGAGTTTTTCACTCGACTAGAAAAGGCGTGCATCGAACTCCACCAACCATTGCCTGAAATTAAGGAAGAAGGTTTAAGCCTTTACGAAGCCCAGCAAGAATTATTGAAATACGTGAATAAGTGAGTTGTTAAAAAAATTAATTTACTTATTATATTTTTTTTATTAAATTAATTTAGATATGAAGCTGTCGTTAATGCTAAGAAACTAGCTCTGGAAAATCTTAACAAAAAACAAATACAATTATGCAAAGAGTTAGACCGGAAAATACAAATTGATTTGAAGTACCCCCCATTGCCTACCCAAGCACAGTTTGATAAATTGGAAGCAGAAAAGTTTGAACGCGAGGAAAAATTCGTAAATTTGAAACACGAAATGACAGAAATCGTTGATGAAATCAAATACAAACCCAATAGCGACTTTGAAAGAGAGGTTTGATTTTTGTAATTTTGATAAATATTTTTTCAATAGGTATTGTCTTCAGATGATATGATGTTGAGTAACCAGAATCTAAAAATGCTGGAGTTTTTCGCCAAGTGTATGAAAGAGCTCAAACTATCCACCGAAGAAGAAGTGTCCCATTTAAGAACAAGAATTGAAGATCTATGAGAAAAGGGCAAGCAAAATCCCCAGACAAGAAGAAACCCAGCGACCCAGTCCGATACTTGGGAGCAAGCTGAAGTGCCCTCTGCAAGCATCACAACGAGGAACATGCCTGTTTATATCCGGTCTAGAACCAAACACCAGTCCAGAAGATGTCAAAAAATACATTGAAGAAACCACAAAGGTAACCATACTAGTAACAAAAATGAAAACAAAAACTGAAAAAATAAAAAGCAGTTTTAAGCTGGAAATCCCATCACACATCAAAGAGCAAGTCATGTCACCAGAAATGTGGCCCAAAGGGACCTTTGTACATTTTTTTCTGAGACTCCGACAGAGCCCAATACGGGCAAACAAAAACTAAAACATCAATCAACAGGAAATGGTCTGAATATTTTTCACATGAATATTCAGAGTATCCGAAATAAAACACTCGAACTAGAAGTAGTCCTGAAAACACTGGACACTGAGCATCAAATTGTCTGCCTATCAGAAACATGGCTCCAACCAGGTGAAGAAGCATTTGTCAAGCTTGAGGGCTACACCCTGCTAGCATCATTTTCACGCTCTAAAATTCAACATGGTGGTGTATGCATCCTGGTCGGAGATGGAGAGGAAAACTTTATGGAATTGGATGACTTCAAAGAATTTTGTATAGAGGGGCAAATAGAACTCTGTACTTTAATAAATAAAATTGATAAAATTCTAATTTTCTGTATTTATAGGTCCTGTAAGGGGAGTTGTGAACTCTTCCTAGAGGTCTTCGAGAGGCTGTGCAGAGAGGTCAGGGTGCGCTTCCTGAATTACAAAGTCTTGTGGGCAGGAGATTTTAACATCAACTTGTCACCGACAGTGAGTAACAATAATGACAAAAATAAACTGTTGGATCTTATACACTCTTATAACTATGAACAGACCATATTTGACATTACAAGACCACCAAAGGACAAAAACAGTGAAAAGACATCTTGCATTGATCATTTTTTTCCAAACTTTAGTGATTATGAAAACAGTGTGGTCATCCAGACTGTTGTGAGTGATCATTATGCCCAATCAATAAGATTACCACTAGATAATTCTGAAATAAACAAAAATAAAGAAAAAATTAAAGCGGTTAGGGTTTTTTCTAGAAATAACACTGAAAGATTCTGTGAGGAAATACAGCGCTGCGACTGGGGTAGCATCTATCGGGAGCCAGATGTGGACAGGGCCTTTAATCGATTTGAACACATATTTCTACAGAAAGTAAATCTAATTTTTCCAGTAAAAAAAATGAAGCAAAGAAACAAACCAACACACAATTGGATCACAGCTGGTATAAAGATATCTAGTAAAAATAAAAGAAGACTATTTCAAAATGTTAGAATTGGGGTAACAACTGTGGAGCACTACAAAAAATACTCAAATATACTCAAACAGGTAATAAAACAAGCAAAGAAGCTCAGCAACAAAAACTTTATACAAAATGCTGAAAACAAACAGCAGGCAACCTGGAGCTTAATTAAAAAAATAACTGCCACAAAAACAATAAAAAAAGACTCAATTCTAAACCACTTTGAATATGAAAATGAGACTGAGTTCCTGAATGATGTGAATAACTTTTTTGTAAACATATGCCCTGATGTGATGTCAGAGAGCAGTAGTAGCCAGGCTGATAAATCTGACACTGTGTGTAAAAAGAATCTTGAACTCCGACCTTTGACAGCTCTAGAAACCTTGAAAATCATAAAAGATCTAAAAAATAAAAAATCTACCGGATATGATGAGATCCCTGTTAGCATTATAAAAGCTTGCGCAAATTCACTTGCAGAGCCATTAACATACCTGATAAATCTATCGATGCAAAATGGCATCTTTCCTGCCAATCTTAAAATTGCACTGCTAAAACCAATCCACAAAAAGGGTACTCTAACTGATCTAAAAAACTACAGACCAATTTCCTTGTTATCCAACTTTAGTAAAATCTTTGAGAGATCAATTTATATAAGATTATTAAACTTTTTAGAAGAAAATGTCTTGTTGAGTGAAAAACAGAATGGTTTTCGAAGGAAAAGATCCACTATAAGAGCTATCTACACAGCACTAAATCGAATTTTGGAATCACGAAACAAGAACAATGTCACCATAGCCGTCTGTCTGGACCTCTCAAAGGCTTTCGACAGTGTAGACCACGGCCTGCTCTGTCGAAAGCTTGAGAGGATCGGAGTACGAGACACACTTCTGAGACTGTTCGAGTCATATTTAAATCATAGAAAACAGGGTGTCTTGGCAGAAAATAGCCTAGGGGAGGTAAAAAAATCGAACTTTGCCTACATAAAAAGGGGCGTACCCCAGGGCTCAATACTGGGCCCACTGCTTTACTTAATATATACAAATGATGTTGCAAATGTACTAGAAAATGTGGTGGTACTCTTTGCCGATGATACTTCTGTGCTCTGTTGTAACAAAACCAAAAACGAATGTGTCACAAATGTCCGGGAATCACTTGAAGGTATTCAGAATTGGTTTACAAACAACAATCTTCAACTTAATGTGGCAAAAACACAAATTATAAACTTCAATCTAAAACCTGAAGAAATAATGATTGACTACAATGACACTACAATTGCTACAAAGGGAAATGTTACCTTTCTTGGAGTGGTGCTGGATGAGAGGCTGGACTGGCGTGCACATATTGACTAGCTTGCAACAAGCATGAGTAAATACTGTTACGCCCTAAGGGTTCTTAGAGACTCAGCAGGCTGCTCGGCAGCGCTAACAGCTTGCCAAGCTTACATCCAATCAAGGGTGAGATATGGTGTCATTTTTTGGGGTAGTGTCTCGGAGTCGCAAAGAATTCTGAAGCTTCAGAAAAGGTGCTTAAGGACAATTTATCAAAGAAAAAGTACGGAAAGTTGTAAAAATCTTTTTATTGAGAGTAGTGTGCAAACAATTTTTAATATCTACATCTTAGAGTGCATAAAATTTGTTTCAGAAAACCCAGATATTTTTGACCAATTAAAAGCAGACCACCCCCATGATACTAGGTTTAAAGAAAACTTAAAAACAGAAACCGCTCAGTACTCATACATTGCAAAGAACGTTAAGCATAGCATTCTGAGGGTCTGGAATGCTATTCCCATTTCATTTCGAAGGCAACCGCCACAGAATATCAAAAGAGAAATTAAAACATTCCTAAACTCAAAAGCTTACTACAGTCTGGATGAGTTTTTCACTGATCCACAAATTGACAACTTGGTAAAGTAAAGTTTCTTAATATCAAAACATACAAGCAATCATTACCAAACTAACACAGACAAATGGCATAGATGGGGACGCACACTTGGTCCTCTCTGTGCAGGCACTCGAGGGCTCAGGACAATTGAAAATTGCAAGAGCAATATTTGATTTATGTGTTCCTTATTGTATTATGTAAATTTTAAAGATTTTTGTGACTATTTATATTTTTATATTTTATATTTTGTGTTTGTATGTTTGAAATTATTATTGTTATATGTAGTAGTATATGTAATAATCTTATTTATTTATGACATGATCAACACCCTAGAGGTAAAAATGTAGAAAACTTGTGATACGCAGTATACTGTGAATTGTATTTGTCTTTTTTACATGATCGAATAAAGAATATATCTAATCTATCTATCTATCTATATGGAAAATGTTGGATATCGAGTTAATAGATAGAGATGAATTTAGAAGTCATTATACAGAAAACTCATTAGATACTTTGGAAGCGTTAAAATTGATGTAAAAAGATGCGAGGAGCTTAGAAAAGCCAACATAAAAAAATTTGTGGACAAATTAAGAGACCAACTCCAGACTATTTGGACAACAGGTCATTGCTCAGATGCGGACAAGAAGACTTTTAGGTATTTTTATGATGATTTTTATACAGAGGATTTGCTTGACCTGCATGAATTGGAAATTCAGAAATGGAAGAAATATTACGAAGATAACGGCAAACTTTTGGATATAATAAAGAAGCACCAGGAATTGTGTGTGGGATAAGGTGATACAATTGCCTATTTTGTTTGTGTGTGTTTTTTTTTTTCAAAAATATTTTTTTTTAGATGATACAATTTGAAGAAAATGCAACCGGAGTAAATAGATTTAAAAATAGAGGTGGTCAATTGCTGCAAGAAGAAAAAGAACGCAATAAACTCTCTAAAGTAATACCTCAACTGGAAGAACAAATGTTGAATCTGTCTGGAGCGTTTTTGGTTAAGAACGGTGTAGTTTTCAAGACTTTTGGTAGCACTGTCGAGGAATATATCCAAAATTTGCACGAGTCCCGTGAAAACGTACATAGATTCTATTTTGTAATAATATTTTCTAATCGATTTTTTTTAGGACCGTAAAACTAAGCTGAGCGCTCGGAAATTGCAACGTTGTGAAACAACTCTTCGCACTCCAGGTAAATCTTGTATGAGCCTATTTCCACCATCCACCAGTAAGTGTACTACAGTTAAGTTACCCCAAAAACGATTGCGTCCGCTTCCAAAAAGAAGATATTTGCCACGCCTACTACGGAGAATACTGCAAAGAGGCCTAAGGCAACACCTGCGACTGTTGGTTCGAAAACGAGTAAGTAGAATTGATTGTAGATGTTTCTGCATAGATAATATTTAAGTTGCTACAAGGGGATACAATATATGGCATGGGCCAGCATATTGTCTATAATACAGTTTTTCTTATAGAAATTTTTTCAGTCCATGAATTTGTTGGTTGAAATTTTTTTTTTGTAGTAGATTAATTTGCTTACAACTGAATAATTTGTTCCTTTTTATCATAGAAGGCACGCCAAGAGTGATTCCCAAAATCAAGGTTACACATCATACTATGTCACTGCCCAAACAGCGCAGGTCACGTTCATTCCAGGAAACGGAAACAGAAACGGAAACGGGCCCTCAGGCAAAGTAGGGGTGCTCAAAATGAAAATGTGGTTCCTGATCCAAATGAAACTAAGGATACAACATACCACGACTTTCAGGTGAGATTTTAGACTTTCCTGAAATAATTTCCGTACAAAATTTAATATTGAAAAAATCCATATTTTATACAGTGCTTTTTGGCTTATTTTCGTAATATAATAATGTGCAAAACAATCTACAGAATTTGATCGTGTCTATATTTTTCATTAGGTAGGTACCGATATTTCGTTTATCATATGTGCACTTATCCGAGTTCAAAAATAATACATTTTCGGCCTAAGAGTAGACAAATAGACTCACTATCCGAGCTGGGATCGTTACTTGAAAAAAGTTACGCGTTACTTTACAGTTACTTTCGAATAATGATAACTTTATTTTCGTTACTTATTGGCAAGTAACGCATTACTGTAACTTCTTTACTTTAGAAGTAGTTCGTTATTTGAAAGTTACCCGTTACCTGAACGCGTTAGTTTGTCCACAACGCGCTTGCGCGTCAAATAAGTGGGGTTATGTTGGCTGTTTGTTTTGCGGTCCAAAAAGCATAGCAAGTATTATAAAAAAGTTGTAATTAATACCTTTTCCAATTTAAAATGGCCCAAATGTCTTTTAAAAACGTTAAATTATCAGCAGCAGATGTGTCGGATGCAATTTTTCGTAATGATATTGTAGAGAAAAACAGCGTACCTATTGGAACTTAAAAGGAATTTACGTTAAAGACATGGCCAGGGAAAGCGGTAAAAAATTAATCCCTCGGAATATCCGAGTCTTCCAACTCTGCTGTCACTATTACACTTTCCAAAAACACAATATTTGTGTGCCCCGTCGCTTTTACTAATTAGGCCAGTGCAAATAATTTTGAATTTGCAAAAATTTTTATAAAGCTGCAACTATCAAAAATAGTTAGCGTTAGTACTCCTAGTAAACATTATACCAAAAGTCCCCATTCGTCCGGTTGTTGCGTCATTAGAAAAAACGGTGATATAGTATTTTTAATACCCATTTAGAATAACCCCATTCTTATTTATCAATCACGAATCAGATGAAACAAAAAATTACCAACAAAAACGAACGTCGATTTCTGATACGTCAATTTCATGTACACCTAAGAAATTCCTAACCTAATTTTATTTGTGCGTTCAAGATGCGACGTACGTTTTGTCACTAGAACGACTGGTACTTCTAAATAGGTATTAAAAATTCTATAGATCACTTTAGGTCCCTTTGATTTTCAATATGATTTTGATTATTACTGATAAACAAAGCAATTTCAAGATGGTTAGTGAGAAAAAAAATATGGATCCTTGAATATTTATCAAGGTATGATTTTTTTAATTTAATTTTTTTCTTTGTTGATTGTGCATCTTTGATAGGTATAGCGATATTAAGCTGATAAGAATAGATATTATTTATTGATCTGTGTCAAAGGTTGAGAAGCGAGAGGATATAAGGCATTAGTGACTAGTGATTTTTTACAATTATTATTATTTTGTTTACTTTAATAGATTTCTATTTTATGGCAAAATCAGCATACCACCTTGGTAAATATTTACAATATTTAATGTTTATGGAAAGGGTTTTTTGAGGTTTTTTACTGGTTTTATTGATTTTTTACTGGTTTTTTACTGACATTTCAAAAATTCCTACCTAATTTGTGATTAGTTTCCTTAATTAACTTAGTAGTTGTCTATTAATGACCTGACGGTGCAATCTTTGCATTGAAGTAAATGGTCAACATTTTGAACAATTATTGTAAACCATAATTAATCTGCTAAGTTTGTCGGTATCTTTTTAGGACACCCTGTATATTTTAATAATATATTGTTTATCAAAAAAATGAACTCATCCATATTTTTTTTTTCTTCATTATGTCCTAATAATTGCTCCAATGCAAATTTGAACATAGAAAAATTGTCCGTTTTTAGGGACCTAATAATGTGTTCTAGACCCGAAAAAACAATCCGCCATCTTGAATTTCGGCACTTATCAGTAAAAATCGTGAATAAGTCAAAAACGGTACATTCTATCGAAAAAACTCAAGAGAGGAAAATTGAATAGAATGAAAAAATGAATGTGGTATCAAGAAACTGAATGCGTACCATAACGTAGTAACAATTTAGAATTTTTTGAATTTTTGGAAAATTAGCAAAATCAAGGGAACCAGACCATAATGCGGTTAATGCGTTTTTTCAATCCCAATAAACAAATAAAATTACCTTCTAACATTAATTTAAATAAAAAAACACTTACCTATATATTACCTAATTTAATTCAACTACCCTCGTATGAACTAATAATGAGTAATCGCAGATTCAATACAATAATACTATTCAACATCATTATTACAGCGATTATACAACTCACTGTAGATTATTCCCATATGACACGAGAGGCTTAAGAAGTGATAAGCCTTTTGGGATTATCGCGCTTGGTGGCAATATTGTTCATTTGCTATTAATAATAATGAAAATTAATAAAGTATGGGAGTTTAGTTCGTTGTATAACCTTCTGAATACCACTCGATGTTTCAGGATTACCTAATACTTTTACCTGACACTCAAGGCGTTACCAGCAACACCACTCCTCCTTCGTAGTCGTGGTGTTGCTGCGTAACGCGTTCCGTGACAGGTAAAAGTATTATTCGGTAATCCTGAAACCTCTTGTGGTATTACATTCGACTATTTCACTAGAGTGTATTACACCGGTTATACAACTCACTGTACCTACATTATTCCCATATGACACGAGAGGCTAAATAAGTGATAAGCCTTGTGGGATTATCGCGCTTGGTGGCATTTATGGCAAATTCTATTATAGACATTTTTTTAAATTTTAAAGTATTAAAATTTAGTTCGTTGTATAACCTTTTGAATACCACTCGATGTTTCAGGATTACCTAATACTTTTACCTGACACTCAAGGCGTTACCAGCAACACCACTCCTCCTTCGGAGTCGTGGTGCTGCGGCATAACGCGTTTCGTGACAGGTAAAAGTATTATCCGGTAATCCTGAAACCTCTTGTGGCATCACATTTGACAATAAATTCAGTATTCACCTGACAATATTGCTACCTGGACAATACCAACAACATGGTATTTCGGAGGTCAGAGACCATTTTTTGACATTGTCAAACTGATATTTTTAATTTGAAGTTCTTATTCATATTTTTGCATTCTATTTATTTTCAAAATTTTACGTGAAATAGTCATGACCAATACCACTCGAGAAAAAATTGTGTAGGCAAAATTGTTCCCAAGGTTTTATTCAAATTTGTTGCTTTTCTGCAATTTCGCTCGTGACATTTTTGTTAAATCACTCGCCTGACGGCTCGTGATTTTGTCAAAAATGTCATTCGCGAAATTGCCAACCATTAAACTTTCATACCTTTCGCGAAAATTTTGCTGACAAATTTTTTTCTCTTGTGATATTATATATAAAAAAAATTTGCCCTAACTTTTCCAGCGACAAAACTGAACCTAGCTTGACATGACCAGCAAAATTTGTCATTTACGTAGGTAGGAATCCATTAAATTGTCTTACCGAATTACACTCAAGCTTTTTTTTTGTCGAAAAGGAAACTTTACTTTATAATTCAAGTTTTGTTGTATTTAGGCAATTTAACTCAAATTGCCAGGCAACAAAATTCTCATTGAAATATTAAGTTTACTTTGACGCAAAAAGGCTCTAGTGTTATTAATTATAAGTGACAATTAACTTTCTAATACCAAATAACATCATGAGAGTGAACCAAGGCCTTTCTGTTACCATTCAACAGTGACTACAATCTAAAACTGGGATACGATTTATTCCATCTTATTCGAATTCCTCTTCATCTACGGAAATTTGTTTGTTATCACAAGAAATGCCAATTCAATTACCACATAGGATTGAACACGGAATATTCGACTTTATACATGTGCATAATTTGTTACATCCTGACTTGCAGTTGCAATATATCATATTCAGAACAAAATCAGGTGCCACTGCCTTTGACATAGTTTTTGGAACCAACATGTCTTTTTTTTTCATCCCAACCCCAATGTATTGTTTTTTTTTATTATTAAGCCAATATTGAATTTGTAAGTAAGTCCTATAGTAATGATTCTCATCAGCTCCGTCTGAAGTTGGAAGCAAAGTAGCTAACTCAAAATTCTTGCTAGGAACTTGACGAGATGTAAGGGTTTTGTATTTATAATATCTCAACTGATTTAAATCATCAATCATCAAACATTTTGTTTTGTTCTCCGATTTTCGCGCCTTAAATAATTAAATTATCAAAACCGAATAATTAACAGAATTGAAAATTCCTAAGTTGATAGATCGCTATGATACAAAATTACTTCTCATTGTATCTGATAGATTTTTTAATTCTCTTCAATTTTCATGTCCTCATTTTTTTCAAAAAAATGTACCGTTTTCGAGTTATTCGCGGTTTTTCCCAAACAGTGCTGAAATTCAAGATGGCGGACGACTTCTTTTGGTGACGCAACAGTCGGAGGCATGGGGACTTTTAGCATGTTAATAAGGGGTACTAGGGCTACTTATTTTTGATAGTCGCAGCTTTATAAAAAAATTTGCATTTTCAACATTGTGAATCTCATAACTGCACTGGCCTAAATTTTTAAATAGGTTTTTCCAATATTTTCCCATGCATAAACTTGTAACATGGACCGCAAAACAATAATCAGCTGATCGAAAAAATGATAGTGAAATTGTGCGATGTTGCCAGTTTGTACAAATTGAAGCGCGTTAAGTTTAAAAAAAAAACTTTACAAAATGACCATCAATATATCTTTTCAATAAATAGCTTGAGTCTTTGACTGCATCAAATATAAGGTTAATTAATACTAAAGAATTTGAATCTCACTTCTAATGAAATCGAAATTATTCATGATTCTTTCCTGTATAGCGTGATAGAAACTGACACTTGGCAACAATGTTTTGCGCATGCGCAACAGAATTATTCTACTTTGAAAAGGTCTATTAAGGATGAAGCGACTAAATAGTGAACTTAGTTTAGGACAAACCTGCTTTTTGAAGCGTCCCAGTGCCCAGCGTCTGCAGTGTCTTTAGAGCAAAGGCGGCGCGTGCCACGCCCAAAAACGATTATTTTGAGCTTTCAAAACAAATTTTCTGTACTACCCACATTTGATTTACCTTTTCCTCAATTTTCAATTATTTATAAGGAAGATAAACAAATTGTTCATAGTAATTAGTAACGCGTTATTTTCATAGTAACGCGCTACTTTCATAGTACCTAACTCGTTACTTTAATAAAATAACGATCTGCAGTTACTTCAGGAAAGTAACGTCGTTAGAGTTATTTATCAATAAATTTGAAAAGTAACTAAGTTACCAAGTAACGCGTTACTTTCAGTGACTCGTTAAAGTAAAGTAACTATTTTATGTCGTTACTCCCAGCTCTGCTCACTATGCGATCTGTAAAAATATTGTGTTGGATCGGACGGTTCGACTACTATAGGTACTACCTTCAAGACGATATAGAGTCAACAGCACAAAAAAAACCTATTGACTTGACTGCCATATTCCTATGCTATTGGAAAAGATGAACACTTTAATTGGATGTACTAAATACTTCAATAAATAGTGATAAAAAATACTTTAATTTACAGAGAAACCCAATGGCGTACAGCTCTCTTTGCTCGCCTATTGAAGAGGGTCAGTACTATTTTTTTATATTCATCAATATTGCTTTGTGTGAAATTTGTATGACTTTTGTAACAATTTTGTATGAACATTATTAACTATTTTTTGTCACACATAAAATGTAGATTTTGATGCATGTAAGAAAAAAGCTTGGGTCCATTTTGTTTACCAGAGTTTGCATGGTATTTCGCTTTTAAACTCTTTCGATAACAAAAAAAAAATTAAACTTTGTGTTTTTTTTTTAGAGCAACTTGTCAAATAAAGGACAATCTACGCGCAGCACCATCTTGCCAACTGAACCAACTCCATCAACTTCCTCAAAAGCTACTTAAAGAACACCTGAAAAAACTATACCACTTTCTAAACTCCAACCAGGACTCCAGCATCTGCAAAAACTCCTTCCTCTAGGACCCCTACTGGGACTAAAAATGAAACCAAGCTCGCTGTGTGCAAGAGTAAGTTACTGTTGTGATGATATTTATTTGTTTTGGAGCATTTGATGTTTTTTTATATTTTTATGTACGACCTACACTGTAAGAGCTTATTACGTAACTCATTTTAGCCTGTTTGAGTTATGTAATAAGTTGCATTATCGTGCTTAGTGATGTAATGAGCTCATTACATCACTCAGTTATGTAATAAGCTCTCATTACATCACTCAGTGATGTAATGAACTCTCATTACGTTACTCATTTTTATTGAAAAACGGCTCATTACACCACTCGTGTGATTACCACGACTCGGTCTACGACCTCGTCTTGGCAATATTCCCCACTCGTTACTGTAATGTAATGAAGCTCATACCGTACTAGTAATATAAATAACTATTACATGCATATAATCATTTCCAATTTGTAAGTTTTTTTTATTAAATTATTTTCATTTGGGAGTCTTTTTTGAGGTACATTTAGACCTGGAAAATGGTAAGTTTAGTTGAATTGGTGCAAAGTGGAGTATTTCCATGTTGAACAAAATGGCCTTGCCAATACAAATTTGATGGATACATTCCAAATACTTACTGATTTGCATTTTTTTTTTTCTGTGCTCAGGCTGGGATTACCCAATCTTAACCATTCGTTATTCTCAGTGTTTTTGAATGAGGGTACTCATTCAAATCTTTAATAAGCAGATTTCAAATAAAACAGAAACCACAGAAATCATCTTTTTATAAAAATTGAGGCAGGATTCTGTAGCGGATAGAGATCCCTATCCCTTTTGCTATGGCTCTTGCTGTTTTCTTCTCTCTTTCCGAAATCAATGGACAGGGGACGTCAATAGAGAATGCGAAAATATCTCTCTGGTAACCCTGGAGTTATTTCGAAATTTTATTCCAATTGGGGCAACCTTTTACCCTCTTCAAGAAGCTGCTACCAAATTTGATATATGCTGATACCTTTGGCCATTGTATGATGACTGGCCAATAACAAGAATGTGTTCCTGTTTATCAACAATCTCATTGTTGACGGTTTCCACAGAAGTACCTACATTAAAAGTTACAATAACTCCGAATAATTCTAGGAAAAATAGAAACGATTTTGCAAAATATGATGTTTTTTCACGATATCCAGATTTTTATAGCGGCATTTTGTTCAACAAAAACATTGCACTAGGTAAAACTTGTTGGCAAAAGCTGGAAATGTTCATTGCCTCTTGTGTAAAATGTATTATATTATGTATAAAGACGTTTTTTAACACATAGTTTCTTATGGAAAAAAACGAAATAATTTTTTTTTTTTCGAAAACTGTTAAAGATAAACCTATTGAAATTTATATCATTGTAATCAGCAAAAGCAGAGCTTTTTAGAGAGCTATTAATATATAGGGTGTTCCATTGAAAAAAAATGGATTTTGGTCAATATCTTGAAATCGCGGCCCAATAGAAAAAAAAACTAAAAACTTCACTGAATTCTGCTTGAAAAAGTGTTTCTAGGAAGTTTTTACAGAAATCAGTTATTTTTATAAACGAAAAAGTTATGAAGATTTCACAGTATTGCTCAAAATCGAGAATCGCCCTCTAGCGGCTAAACCGTTGAGGATATCAAAATGCGGTTTGCACCAATCAAAATTTCAAGAAATTTGAGCCTCGGAGTGAAGACATTGACATTTCCTATTAAAACCATCCAAATTCAGACACCCTGTACATACTCCTAGTACATAGAGTAGATATTCACTCAATATTTTATTTTGCTTGCCACCGCTCTTCCACCTCTATATCCTATTCACAATCCGATGTCCACAGGTACCGGTAAATTTATCACCTTTCCCTATCAAATAGCATTGAAAGGTGATGAATTTTACCTGTACCTGTGGACAGCGGATTGTGAATAGATAATATTATATCCGCAGGACTGCGGGGAAATTTGTTCCACCGTTCACTTTGCTGAATAATTATCTTATCAGCCACTTCCGATACAACTTTAGACACCGAAGTTTGGTGAACACCAACATCCTCGCCTACTCCTGCCTGAAAGCCCAGGTCACCCACTTATCTTAAAAATATTTTAAATTTATCTTTGTTGCATAAAGCACCACCTCTTCTTTCTCCAGACTTTTCACCCAAAAATTGATTTGATAACCACTCCACAATTTCTTTACTAAACCGGTACAACGTTTTAAAGTCCCGATCACACGTATTTTTTCTAGCTTTGTAAAATTTTTCAGAACGCAGGTTAAGATTGAAGAACTCTGCCATAGCACTGCCTTCTACCGAGGGAAAATCGTTACTGAAATATCTTAAAGCAGAAAGTTGAGTCTACTGCATAGCAGACTCTAAAACTATGGAGTAGATTCTTCTGCCGAAGAGCACAAACAATTTTTTATTCATACCAAAAGTGAGAATCTACGCATACCAAATTATACATAGGAGTACCTACTCAAGCGAAATATCTGTTCGTAGTTTTTATTCATACCACGTGGAGTATTTACTCCAAAATTTGGAGTAGAAACTAAATGCTCATTTTTATTCGTACCTACCACCCAATGAGTTTTCTTTATTAGGGATAATGTTACAAATTTGTTAACATTGGAAAAGCCAAAAGTAAGTCCGAAATGAAAGCAAAATACCTAGTTTTCGGGCTTTTACCACTTGCTTTTGGTAAATCCTAGATTTAGCGCGCTTATCCTAGGTTTTACCGAATTTCGGGCATTTACAGTAACATATATATTGGAGGAAAATTCTGCAAATTTGGTTCTAAGTCCTCTAACATTCTGATAATACACTAATATCTTTTTCTGTATGGTAACCTGCTGCTTTGAGGAAAATTTTGGTGATTTCTCGAATAGTTTTGTCCTTGTCTGCTCACTTTGCTTAGAAAAGCTGTCCTCTAGGCCGTTGATTTCAGTAATTAGTTTTTGAATTGTCTTATTTTGCGCCTCAGATTCCCTCACCAAGCTCTTACTATCCATATGGCGACATGTTCTATTTTTGGCCTCATTTGCTTGTGCCATACACGCCGGGTGAAAAAATCCTCCACATTTTAGGCACTCCGTCCGTGCTGTGTGTAACATTCTTTTTACAATGTAGGCATTTATTTTTCTCCGTCAAATATTCCGTAGTTGTTTCAGATGAATTAGGCATTTTGAATTTGTTAATTCTTAATAGCCCGGACTATACAGGGTGTCCCACGGTGGATGGCGTATTAGACGTTTATGGAGAACTGAAAAGCGGATCATTTTGAAAATTTGGCAACCGGGATAAACGACCATAATCTACACTTTAAAAATATTTTTGTTTATGCGGTGTTGCCGCTTTTACTCTAAACTAGTGGCACCTTCGCTATTTTAAATAGAACACCCTGTATTTGATTGCATATTTGGATTCTACGTATAATTCTGAGCAGATTTCGTGTGATATACTCTATACCTAAGTTCAACTGTTTTGGAAATATTGACAGTTGAAAATTGACTTTTTGCAACTTTGACAGGCTGTAAAACCTAAACGGTTAATTTTAGAGGAAAACCGATTTTACATTCCTATCTTAGATTTTCATAAACTATCATTTGACACCAACTTTGGACTTAACCGGAGATTAAATTTAATTGGAATTTTCAATCATGGATTAAATTCACAGTTGGTCCCCTAAAATTAACCGTTCAGGCTTCACAGCCTGTCAAAGTTGCGAAAAGTCAATTTTCAACTGTTAATATTTCCAAAACAGATGAACTTAGGTATAAGGTATATTACATGAAATCTGCTCAGAATTTTAAGTAGAATCTAAATATGCAATCACATACAGGGTGTTCTATTTAAAATAGCGACGTTGCCAGTGGTTTAGAGTAGAAGCGGCAACACCGCATAAACGAAAATATTTTTAAAGTGTAAGTTATGGTTGTTTTTTTTTTTTTTTTTTAATGCTTTCTAGTCAGAAACCACCACTGTGGTTTGTCGACAAAGCCTCGAACATCACATTCAAACCAAATCAAACAAACAAACAAACAAACATCCATGCACCTAGCCGGGATTCGAACCCGAGACCCACTGCATGCAAAGCGAAGACACAACCGCTGAGCTGCTTGGGTCTGCTGTTGATCCCGGTTGCCAAATTTTCAAAATTATCTGTTTTTTAGTTCTCCATAAACGTCTAATACGCCATCCTTTGTGGGACACCCTGTATAAAATATTCAAATAAGGAAGCCCAAGGTTCTTATCGACAATATAAACAGATGAATACCAAACCCGATTGTAAAAAAGAAATTCCGGCACTATTGATGCTGTTATTGTTCACACATAAAAGCCGTAAAAATAATGTTTGGAGAAAATTATTTCTAACCGACGCGACGCGGCAACAGTGTAGGTGCGATTCAGTAGATGTAGCCTTGAAATTATAAATATTTTTAGGTTTTTAATTGTTTTTAGTTGGTTTACCACAATTAATCTGTATTATGTTAACATACGATATTTGAGAGAATAGTTAAATTATAGCACTTTTCCGACTTTTAAATATATCAAATTCTGGCTTTTTTGGCACGACCACATTCAACGATGTTTACAATCTTTATATCAATTATGTCTGTATCAAATTCACTTCAAATATTAGTTTTTAAGGTTTAAAGTCAACCCCCATTTTCTGAACCTTGTGTTCAAAAATTCCAAAAAAAAATATATGTGTTATGGTTATTGATATACCTACTTTAATCCATAATTTTTTCAAGCAAATTTGACTCGCCATTTTTGAGATATACCTATCGCAAAAACTGAAAAAAAAGTGGTTTTTCACCATTTATTTCAAAACGAATAGATGAAGTTTCCCGTTATTTTTATTACGAACTACTATTGCGATTTTACGCGACATATATTTTTTTCAAATTTTTTGAACTTGTAGTTTTCACGCTACTGCAAGAATAGTTGGAAATACGCCTGTAGCTACACTGTTCAAAAAAAATCCGACGGATGATCGTTCAAAATTATTTGTGTTGGTCCAAACTACAACCCTGTTTATGTAAAACAGAATAATACTTCGAATTTCCGCAA